TATATATATATATACACACACACACACAAGCACACGGGCACGCATTAACCTACACACACTACGGCACATATTCACAAAAAATATAAAAGGCAAGACATGAGATCTCCGAGAGAGGACGCCTTCCTTGAACTCCCAAACAACCCCACTCCCTGTAATCTGAAACCTTTACAAGATTGAACACCTAAAAACTCAGGAACCATCAGAGAGCACAAACGCAACCTGTAAAAATACAACGATAAAGAAACCAAGAGGGCAGTAAGAGGAGACGAAAGCAGACGACAGAACATAGCTAGAGAGCACACAATAAATTATAACAGCATACACAATAAGTTATAACAAAACACAAAATAAATTATATCTGCACACACAATAAATTATAACAGAACACACACAGAAAATTATAACAGCACACACAATAAATCAACTCAGGGGATACAGTTTGACTGTTATGAATACCAAAAGATTTAATTTTTTAAATGCACATAATAAAATAACAAATCTATGATTAACATTATGGAGTTACATATGCCCACTTTTTCTTAGCTTCATAATCATATATGCTCATTTCGTTATCCTTCCATTGGATATAAATAGGTAAAAAACAACTCAGCATACTCTTTATGCACTTCACACTTAAAACAAAACAGTAAACATTCTCAAAACATTTCATTTTCACTAATTAAATAGTGTAGCTAATGTTTAGGGCATCAACAGATGTAAATGAGAGGAGGGGATGGGGGTTGAAGAATTATAAATCCAATCAATGGTCAAATTCAATATATAATTAATATTTTTAATTAGAAGTCGCCAACAATAGTGTCAACCCTGGAACCACCTCAGAGTATTTTTCTTTATGATTTATGCAAGGGTTTTTACTTGAGATGTGCTTGTTCCACTCCACCTGACAGAGCCATTCGAATACAGTGATTTTTTCAAGATAACTGATTAACATCTCATTTTAATTTTTCTCAACCCATCGTAAAATAGGGTATGGGTCACAACGCTGTGGAATCAGGTGCTCATCAATTCTTGATGCGTCACGAAGTGGTGGAATCAGGCACTTGTCAATCTTTGGGTATGTGGAGTTATTGGTTTCATCTGAAAGCTTATTTAATTGCCCTGTTTTCAATGAAAAAAACCAACCCATCTATCTTGAATAGAAGTTGAGATACACGTATTTGTGATTGAAGAGGTTGGGGGTAGCCTGGTGTCAAAGACAAAATTAGTAAGAAAATTACCAACCAAAAAAAGGTGACTTCCAAAAGCTTAAGTGCCCTTGGAAAATGCAAATTTACATTTTTGTGCCTTTAACCAACATTTTTCAGTAGAATCTACATAAAAATGTGTCTTTAAATGGACAGAAAAGAGCTGAGCCAAAAATTATCGCAATAAAAATTTCCAAACTAGTGGAAAAAACTGGTTTTTCAATTTCAATATTTTGACGAGTGCCTGATATCTCCACAATGCCTCACATATTATTCAAGAGTCACTGAGATAAATACAGAAATACTTTATATTTGATGATTAAGAGACAAAGTGATAAGTGGCACCCACAAGTTCTATCATGCCTAAAAGAAGTATTCCTTACTACCAAAATATTCAATAGTCACACCATGAATAGCTCAAGGGATCATGATTTTCGAATACCAAAGTATAGCAGATGGCTTTATAAGAAATGATAAGTAGATAAACACAACAAGCTTCCTTGCTGATAGACTTCTTCTATTGAAAAAAACCTAAAACAATTGCACGTCACATACATAGTACACAGGGGTGCCAAATGATTTTCAAAAAAAAACCCTGAAAATGAGCAGAGCATCACATCTCATCTAAACCGAACCTTGTAAAGCTTTTAAATGAGCAAACAAAAACATATTCCCTCTCACCTCTCCCTTATTCCAACAGATGAAAAAAACCCGGACATTTGGCATCCCTGATAACACGCTTCGAAGGGTCAATGAAGTTTCATTTCCTCAATTTCTATGCCCCCTTCGACACAATTTAGAAAATTTAAGAGGAGGGCTTTGACCCTGCCAGTCAACGCCACTCCAGGCGGAGAGGGACACACCTTTCCAGTAGAAAGACTAAGATACTCGACAAACATTTCCATGCATGGAAATCAAACTTAGATGATCTTCTGCATGCGAAAGGCCTAACCACTGAACCACAGATGCTGGTCATTCTGGGATGATGTTTACATAAGTTTTACGAGAAATATAATGAAAATGCTTTCCCCTCTCTTCGCTCCCCCCCCCCCCCCCCCCCAACAAAAAAAGTGAATGAGAAACAAAAAGTAAGTATGATCACATGATCACTCATTTTCCAAAAGACAAGCAAGAGATGGAACAGGGAACATAAACATACAACACTGCTATCACTGCAGGCAAAACATTAGTACTGGTATCAACATCTCCAAACAATCAGACAAACTCCTGAGAGGCCATAGATCTACAATTCACAGATGCTACACAAAAACTACAGTCAGTTTCTTGGGGCATGACCATTTTGACAGATCAAAACAGGACTCAAATGACACTGGCAACAACTTCATACTTCAAGTAAAAAAAAACAAATCTGTTAAGCTAAAATAAAAAGCTCTAGGTAGCATTAAATAGAAGAGAAGAAAAAAAAATAAAAAATTAAATGCTTCCAGAAGCAGCTGAATACATAATTAATATGTCTAAAGCATGATCACAGGGAAAAGGGAACAAAATTCGACATTGAAGAAGTTAATACCTCGTTCAGAGTGACAAGTTCAGGATAAAAGTACAGGATTTTGGAGAGAGAACCAAAGGATACATCATGTGTCAATGTTTGGGCCAAACACAACATTTAAAAAAAACCACACCTTACATGAATAAAAGTTTCTCAGACAATAATTCACGTTGAAGTGATATATGGCCAGCTCATAAAAAATAAGTAGACCAGTCACAAAAAGGAGATAGCAGTAACCAATCCCCCTTATTATAACATATGTTTGTAATCTCTCTTCTTAAAAACCCTTGAGCCACTGCCATATTTTTTCTTTTCCTTTTATATCCGTTCATAAGTCATTCCCTGCTTTCAATATTTATGCATTGAGATGAAGGAGTGATGGGGAAAAAAGATAAGGGTGTGCAATATCAGTGTCAATAGCTTTCATTACACAAGGTTATGCCATACTGAACTTCTAAAAATAGGAAATATGCTTTTAACCTATAATCACTATAAAGTTAAGACAGAGATGTCAGGGGTCTGATCAGCCACAAACAATTTCTGCTCAGCCTCTGTCACACTCAGGGCCATCCAATTGACCTTGCACGGATGTGAAAAAGAGCGAACTTTGCAAAGTTCAGTGATGGCCAAGTTCTTTTCTTCTTCAGGGTTAGCAGTAGCGCCGTGGCTATCTCCATTTGTGACCACAGCATCAGGCTGATAAAGAGCTGCCTTAGACAAGTCCCAGTGGACGATGCAAGAATCATTGCCAGCTGAGACAATGTTGTCTTCGTTGAGAAACTGGACCTGAGACACCCCTTGAGTGTGGGCAAATAGGGCATGCTTAGGCTGAAGGTTTTTATGAGAAGCATTCAAAAGAGGCAGTTGTCCATTCTCCAGAGCACAGGCAAAAGTACTGCCACTAGGGGAGCTCGCAATATGGTGCACAAAGGGAGGATTAATCATATGAGGGGAGTCACCGGGTGTAGCATACAATTCTTGCATGTTGAACTGATTCAGACACTTCGGTTTGGAGAAGTCCCAGTGTACTAAACGGCAGTCGAGACCCCCTGAGACAATTTCCCATTGCTTCCCTGGTCGGAAACTGACAGCAGAGCAGATGTTGGTATGCTTATGACGGAGCGTTTTGAAAACTTTGCGGTCTTGCAGACCGTATACTTTGATCTCACCACTGTCATCACATGCAGCTAAGAACTGCTCTTTCGAGTCCAGAGCTAACTGATTCACCTCCTCCTGATTTGACTGGAAGACAAAGATGGGCTCCTGAGCTCTTGTGATATCAAGCAGCAAAACTTCCTGTCCAAAGGCAGCGTACACAATGTTAGGGTTGTCTTTGGAGAAGATAGCAGACGTGCACTCCGAGTCGGGACGAGTGACTTTGGTGACCACCTGCCCCTCACGAGACCACAAACACAGGTCGCCGTCCTCAGCCCCTGACACTATCTGGCCTGACTGTCTCTGAGTGCCCACACACAACACGGATGAAGTGTGACCTCCAGTCAGCTTTGTCGTTGCCATTAGTGTCTGCAAAAAATGAACATACAAATTGAATTCAGTAGCAGCACGAATGTAATCACCTGATACAGTGGAGATGGCTTAAACTGAAAACGGTTAAATGAAAAATAACAGTAACAGTAATCTGAAAAAAAACCCAACCCAACTAGAATCAAAGATCTTTTTCTTCCACTTCTTTGTAAGAAAACTACCAATAGACAAAATGCTTCTGTTTTTAACTGAAAAACATTTTGAGGGCTGAGTTGTCAATTTTTCATCTCTATATATACGTGCAACTCCACAGCTATAAAAATCACTAAGTCTTCCACTTCCTCTGTACAAGAGAGCAAAAGTGAAGAAAGAGACATGAGAATGCAAGACAGAAAGAGGCCTACATTTATCACACACATCAAAAGGCTTAGAACTACACACTACAGACTGTGTATACTAACACTAAGATGGCGAAAACACTGGATAATCTTCTGTGGATCATGACCTATTGTCACTGCAAGGCAAGTTCACATACTTGCACACACATGAAGGACTTGCACAGCACATAACGTGATTCATGACATCACTAGCACTGGGCCTCCAAACTTGTCTGGCACAAAGTACAGTACAGTACATCATAGTGCTCTGATCGACTTTTGAGTCTATTCTGTGTGACTGTTAGGCAGTTTAACACTTTGGAGTCACACAGCCAGCAGTACAAAAGACCCCATCTGGTCACCAAGCCAGAAGAGTGACTGCAACAGACTTCTCGAGCCTGACGCACACCTGGCGCTGACCGTAACGGATAATTTTCACTGGCGCAGTATAGTTCCAAGTGACTGCAAAGTGTAAAACAAGCTGGCAAAAACAATGAGAAAGCACAACGCATCCCCATGCAGTTCAGATTGTAGTTACTGAAGAGGTTGACATGATGAAACTTTCTAAACAGTTCTACAGACTCCAGTTTTTTAGCAATCTCAACAGTATTAAAAAGATCACAATGTTTTCAAAATTTTATTCAGGCTGGCAAAATAAGAATAATATATTTAACCCATTGCACCCTGCTCCCTTCCCTCACCCCCCCCCCTTTCAAAATTCCCAACCTGAGACCAGATCTTGTGTGTGGACATGAATGATGAGTGGATTTTCAGAGCACAAAAGTGTGAAAGTTGTCAAGCAAAGGCATGCGGTTGGGTTCATGGGGGTAACCCTCAAAGCATTATACCATAGATGGTTTGGTGATTTGAATTTCAAAAGTGGAGGAAAGATCCAAAAGAGAGGTTCAACTATGGAAAAAGATGCAGTAGATAATATATGTGCAGATGACACACATGGAGGGTTAAAGTTAAAGCACTACCCCACTTGAGCCTGATCTATTTTTCACCAAACAACCATTGTAGACTGACAGTTTTGGGGTATATTGAATCGTTAAACCATAAAAAGACTGTGAAACCTATCATAATTTTTTTTTAACGCAACAAAAAAAAGAAAGAAATGCCCTCATAAAAAAAAAGGAAAACTGCATATATACAGTGGAACTCGGATTCAACGAGGTCGCCAGGCCAGACCTAAAATCTCGTTGAATCCGAGTGTTTGTTATAGCAAACATGAGGTTTTGTGTAGATAATTACAGGCACTGAGCAAGTAATGTATAAAGAGAAGTCACAAGTAGTGCCTGAAATGCCTGCATATTATGAGCTGTGTGAAAAAAAGACAGATTCGTTCAAACGCACTCCTGTGTCATCTCGATTGTTTACCACAAAGTTGTGTTGCTGTGTAGAGCCTGGCATAAGGGCAACTTTTGATTTCATAGACAAGCGCACAATTCATTACGAAGATCTACGTCAAGACTGGCTTATCATTGTGTAATAATGATCAGTTGCCGAGGGGAAAAGAAGACTGTGACGCGTTTGTACCTGCGATGTTCTACGCCCGGACCGCTAGTGCACCCCTCCCCCCCCCCTCCCCGACACACACACACAGCCACACGTGTGCACGCCGCCCATCCGACCCCGACACACGACAGAGTAGACTTGTGCTCGTGCCAACAACGCATGTGTTGGTATGAAAAAAGGCCGCTGACTGCAATCGGCTAAGTGAATAATGGTTCACGATGCAGTTGCAGTGGACAGTTTCCGGGAATAGATAAAGTTCGTTCTTGGAGAAAAATGAGTGAAGCCACGTCTGCAAGGGCTGTTCACCCTGAAAGCGACCTCGTTGAATCCGAGCTCGCTGATTTAAGTGCTCGTTGAATCCGGGTTATACTTATTGGTTTTAAAGAAGGAAAAAAAAACGGGGAATCTATCTCATCTCGTTGAATCCGAGCTCGTTAAATCCGAGTACCACTGTATATGATTTGTCTTAATAGTTTTTACTTCATAATAATTTGAAATGGCAATGTCTGGGGGTTATACTTTTTTTGTGCCCAATTTATAATAAAATCATCTATTGCAATGTGGGGGTGTCTGACTCAGCCCATTACAGCTAAAAAAATATTACACATGAATGTCACCAAATTTTTAACAAAACGAAACAAGTGGGTCAGCTGTTGGTTTGCCGCTTCCCGTAGCTTGTAACTGAAAAACACTAGAGATTATATCCATTGACAAAACACATCCCGTAAATACACCGGATTAGGCCACCGGGCTGGCGCTGCATGCCATACACAAGAATAGGGATATATGTCTCTTTTTATCAAAACTCACTAACAAAACTCACCGATACTGACCGAAACTGTCCATGACTGCCTGACCAAAACACTTCAAAAGTTGGCTCTCTGAATTTTTTGCTAGAGTAGAGGAGGTAGTCAGCACTACCCTAAGCATAAAAAGTGAACTTGCCAGTCCCCGGTGAGAGTGGAGGTAACCGCACAATAACTGATGAGAAGCAAATTTCGTCTGGTAACGTTGGCCCAGCGCGTTATGCGTGATTTGTTTGCCTATCTCCCTCAGTAGTGGTATTTGTGAGGCAAAGTGAGGGCGGGTGCGTGCGACAATGAGTAGGGATGCGCGTTCCTGCTTGAGGGTGGCACATTTAATGGAGGGGCTTCGAGCTAGGATAGGGTGGGTCTCGCAACACGCCTTAATAACTTATTATTATGAATCTTATAGGCTAATGTATGATTTTCTAACCACAAAGCAGGAAATATTCTTACAAATTATACAAGAGTTAAGAGTCACAAGAGACACTCAGTTTTTATGTGTATAGCCAAAAGTGAAAGAAAACAAAAAATAACTGAAGCCAACACTTACAATGGAAACAGTAATCTGTTAGTGAGTCTAGATAACTCTTGAAAATCATGAATTAAATTATATAAGAACAGCAAAGTAGATACATGTGGATCTAATTGCATATGGATAAACAAAGATATTGTTCACACTAATTGTATGAAACAAATTGGGATGGGGAGATTAGTTAACACAGCAAAAGAGCTCAATGTCCATGGCACCCAGGTCTTCCTGAGTCTTGTCCTGCAGCTTTAAGTCCATCTGTTTGATACAATTGGCGATCCATCACTTGTCACAAAGCATGCACTGGGTGCCCACTACTTGTCCTGCGGTGGTGGCTCCACACACAGCAAAGTCGACCACAATGTTCTCACAATCGTCGGAGCTGTCGTCATACACCGGCTCTTCTCCTGAGTCAGAGGAATCTCCGTCCTCTTTCTTCATCTGAGAGGCCACAACCAAAGCATTCATCTTCTTCTCCTGAATTCTCCTTTTCTTCTCCTCCTCTTTCTCCTTCTTTGCCTGCTCCCTTTGTTTTTCCTTCTCTCTTTCGCGTTCCTTTTTGTCTTCAGCTTATCTAGCCGTTCCATCTTTCTCTGCTCCCTTTGCTTCTTTCTCTCTTCCTTCTGCTGTTGTTCTTTTTCCGCCTTCCTCTTCTTCGTGAGTATCATCTCTTTCTAGTCATTCCCACTGATGGACGGTGGCATGGTTGGCTGAGGCTTTTTAACGGCCTAGTTTTTTTAATATGAACATAACGGTAATGTGAGCTCCTTGTCGATAGTCATCTCCCTGGAGGGGGTCTGAAGTTCCAAGGCTCTTGCTAATGGCTGGGGGATCGGAGGAGCCAGTTGTTCAATACTGTCCATCAGACTGGACCACATGTTGTAGTCGGGGTCGATCTTGAGGTCGTATCCATTGACATACCTCTTGAGGTACAGATCCACCTTCTCCTCCCCAAGCTTAAAGTTCATGGAGAATATTTCCTTGAGTCGATGACGGCGAGTTTGTGACGTCCTGGATGGGGCAGAGGCAGACAAGGTGGGTGACAAGTGGAGGGTAGGGACAGGGGACTCTGTGAAGGTGCAGCTGGGTTCAGCTTGTCACTTGTGAGGACAACGTTAGGGTTGTAGAGAAACAGCCATGATTTGGTGAATCCCCTCAGGGCTGTTTTTAGCCAAGCTGCTGTTGTCCAGGCCTTCAATTCAGGACGCCGGTAAACGTCCTCAGTGTGACAAAGTCAAACAACCTTAGCGACCAGCCAAGGATCTCGAGCCACAGGAAAGGGTGTTGCCAGATGTTGATAAACGCGGGAACGTTCAAGCATGTTCTTAATTGGTTCATACCACAGGGTTGTCGTGCTGACCCCCCTGTCGCTACTCTACCTTTCTACAGAGCTAGTTCACTTGCTTCATCAGTTTGGATTTGGAGCTGCCCAGCTTACTAACGGAAAAACATTGCACCCAAAGTGTCGTGCCATTGAATATCTTGTAGACTTAGAGAATCTTTGGTGCCATGCGGTTGGCTATATTTAGACTAGTCATGTGATTGGAGGGGTACCCTGGTCTGACGTCACATAAAAGATTGCGGCCTTGCCTAAAAACAGTTTGTGTTGTTTTCTATGTTTAGTCGCATGTCTAGAGATCTGGCACTCCTGTTGTACAATTGCGGTCACGTTAGGGGATACTAAATACTACTTTTGATCCCACCAACGATTACTTCTGGTTCTAAACGATTACTTTTTATGCGCGTGCCGATATGGAGAGAGTCTATCAAACCTGACTGCAAAACATCAAATCATGGACAAATGAG